TTTTGAGTTGGAGTCTCACTCTGTCGCCCAGACTGGAGTGCAGTGGCTGCTCCCGCCACCGCAGCCTCACCTGCGGGGCTCCAGCGATCCTTCCACCTCAGCCTTCCGAGTAGCCAGACTTACAGGCACGTGCTACCACGCCCGGCTAATTTGATTTTTTTTTAATTGTAGAGATGAGGTCTCGCCTGCCCAGGCGGGTCTTGAACCCGCGGGCTCAGGCAATCCACTCACCTCAGCCTCCCAAAGGCGCGGGATTACAGGCTGAGCCACCAAGCCCGGCTTCCAGCTAATTTTTGATTTCTTGTAGAGGCAAGGTCTCGCCAAGTTGCCCAGGCTGGTTTCGAACCCCTGGACTCAGGTAATCCTCTTACCTTGTCTATGCCTCCCGAAGTACTGGGATTACAGGTGTGAGCCACAGCGCTTGGCGGCCTTTCCAAGCTGTTATCCCATTGTTCAGTTAATACATCCTGAGCGATGAACTCCTTGGAAAACATTTTCTTCCCCTTCACCACACCAGTCTCCTTTGAGTGGAAATGGAACTTTCCCTGCTCTCGTCTCACGTCGTCATGATTTTTGTGTGACCGAATATACATCCACAGTGTCAGCTTCCCTCTGACATGCATAAGCCAATGACTTTTGCACCTCTGTGCCTGGCCTTTAGGTGCATTTGGGCTTCCAGACTTATTTACCCATATTTTAATTTTTACTTTTTTTTTGAGTTGGAGTCTCAATCGGTTGCCCAGACTGGAGTGCAGTGGCATGCTCATGGCTACCTCAGTGTCGACCTGCTGGACTCTGGCGATCCTTCCGCCTCAGTCTTCCAAGAAGCCGGAACTATAGGGGTGTGCTACCACGCCCAGCTAATTTTTTGACTTATTGTAGAGATGAGGTCTCACCAATTGCCATGGCTATTCTCAAACCTGTGGGCTCAGACAATTCCTTCACCTCGGCCTCCCAAAGTGCTGGGATTATAGGCTTGAGCCACCGCAGCCCACTGATTTTCTTTTTTTTAAGAGATGGTGTTTTGCTATGTTGCCCAGGCTGGACTCAAAATCCTGGGTTCAAGTGATCCTCTTGAGTGGCTGGGACTATAGACGCATGCTACCCAGCTTCACCCACGTTTTTTTTGAGATGGGATTTTGCTATGTTGCCCGGGCTGGTCTCAAACTCCTGGGCTCAAGCAATCCTCCTGCCTCAGTCTCCCAAAGTGTTGGGATTATAGGTATGAGCCACCGCACCCAGACTCCCACAGTCCCCTCCTGTAGTAAACCCCTCAAAGGCAATATCTTGAAACCACCACCCTCCTAGAAACTCTGATCCTCTTGCTATAATCCTATTTCAGGAAATGACCCTGCCATCTGGTCATAGCCTGCATGTCCTCCTGATTGCTCCCCTCCTTCCCCATCTCACATCCAACTGCTACCAAATCATGGAAGCTCTGCCCCACAAATTCTCCTGTCCTCCTTCTTCCCCAGAGCCACCATGCCGGCCTGCATGCCTTCTGTGATCTGCCCTCCAGGGGAGCGCGCGTGCCAAGAGTACTCAGTGGGCACAAGTGGTTTTATTATTTCTGCCTGGAAGAGGAAGCCCTGGCAGAAGCAGGGACGCAGAGCGGCCACGTTGCATCCTGCTGGCAGCACGGACGCTGACGGCTACAGCCCAGGACCGTGAAGCGCTGTCCCACGTGTGAGCTGGAGCTGTGGACGAGGTACGCTTTGGCCTGCACAGGCCCCTGGCTGGAGAAGGGGGTCCCAGCCTCACCGATGCCTCTTTCGGATGCTCTGCAGCTCCTGGCAGATGGCGCTGAAGCTGGGCCGCTGCCCGGGCTCATAGACCCAGCACTGCTCCATGAGCCTGAACACAGCATCAGGGCACAGCTCTGGGCAGGGCAGGCGGCCTCCTGTGAGAACAGGCACAGCACGCCAGGCATGAGGAAAGGCCTGTGGGCCCCGGCATCCCCTGGGGCACACTGTGAGCAATGGGAGCTGCTTACGGCACACTGTGCCTAAGCAGACACCCTCTGTACCAAGGACCCCACAGACACCGAGGCCAACTTCTAACCCAATCCCACCACGCACTATTGTGTGACCTCTGCAAGCCTCAGTTTTCCCATCTGTGAAAGGGACATAGTGTAATCCCCAGCTCCCGTGTTGTAAAGAATAAATGGAATAACACAAGGCCTAGCACAGAACAGGCGCTCACTCAGGGGCAGCTACAGGACTCTCCTTCTTCTGCCCCAGTGGGAAGGATGGCAGGTTGAGGGAGGAGGAGTCCAGCTGGAGCACTGGGAAGATGGCCTGGCCCTGAGGCTGCTGTCCCACCCGGGGTGCTTACCCTTCTCCACAAACTCCCGAGTCTGCTGGTTGCTGAGGTTGGGGTAGGGGGAGGCCCCCAGGCTAAAGGTCTCCCACAGCAAGATGCCAAAGCTCCACACATCGCTCTCGGAAGAGTAGCGGCCTGCAGAGCGGGTGGGGCACCATGAGTGGGCTGCGGTCCGTGAGGCCAGAGTGAGGCAGGTAGAAGGACTGCGCCCAAGCCTCCGGCCCTGCAGCCCAGGGTGGACAAGGACCAGGTACCATAGTTAAGGGCCTCAGGTGCGGTCCACTTCACAGGGACTTGTCTGAGGCCCCCCGAGGCTGCGTAGATCCCATCCGCTTCCTCCCGGGACATCCCAAAGTCGCTGATCTTTAGGACGTTCTTCTCTGTCACCAGGCAGTTCCGAGCAGCCAGGTCCCTGGGGAAAGCAGGGACAGATAGGAGGGCTCATTCGGCCAATGTCGCTGGCCCAGCCTGGGCTGAGTACTCTAGACAAAGCCACAAACCAGAGCTGCCCCTTGCCCTGGGCAAACGGGTCTATTGGAGGCAGCCAACTCCACCTCTGGAGCCGATACTTAAGCATCGGAGACCCTGGGAGCGGCAGCACCTCCTGACTCTGGCTGGTCCACCATCGCTCACCGGTGGATGCAACATTTGCTCTCCAAGTACTCCATGCCGGCCGCCGCATCCCCCACCATTTGCAGCAGAGTCTTCACCCGCAGGCGGGCTCCCTCTGTCCGGAGGAAGGTCAGGAAGTCGCCCCCTGGAGGAGTGGGGAGCCCCGTTGAGCCTCCTGTGTGTGTGGAGGGGTGGGGACACCACCTGGCCAGGCTGAATTCCCCACCCCTGGAGGTCAGCACCCTCTGCTCACCCTGCACAAGCTCCATGACGATGTAGATGGGCTGTTTCTGAGTACAGACACCAATGAGGCGCACGATGTTGGGGTGGCTGTATTGCTTCAGGATCCTGCAGGGCACACTAATTAGGCTCCACGGGGCCTGGCCCACCTCCTGCCCCCGCCTCCTCCAGGGAACCCCAGGAGAATGGGAGAAGGACCATCGGAGAGAGAAGTCTAGTTTCTGAGACCAGACCTGGACATGTGACCCCGGGCAAGGGCCCTGGCAGTCTTGACCCCTCAGCACCATGGTCTCGGGGATTAAAAGACACCACGGAAGTCAAGCACTTTATGCTGTGCCATGCCCAGAGGAACCTCTTTGTGTGGGGGACCAAGGCGAACATCACTTTATCACCCACCTGGCTTCCTGCAGGAACTTGGCCTTGAGGTCAGGTGGGAGTGTCTCTCGACAAGACTTCACTGCCACTAGGGTATTGTCGGCTCGCAGGCGTCCGCTGAACACTTCACCAAAGTTCCCCTGAAATGGTCTTGGGCTCCTACCATGGCCTTCCCCGTCCCACTGTCCTCTCCTCTGCTCAGGGGGACAACCCACCTTATCCCACCACTCTCCATGCAGTCCCTTGCTCGGACTTCCTGACCCTGGCTCTCTAGGCATTTGCGCCCCCCCATATCGGAGAACTGAGAGCACCCACAGGGTAGGCAGGGAAAGTCCTCCACAATATGCCATGCCATCTTCACTGAGAGAAGTGACATGGAAAATCCAAGTGTCACTTTCCCTTGGCTTTGAAAAGCATTCTGCTTTTTAGGAAAGTGACTTATTTCCTAAGCAGGTATTTCTTCACTTACATGAACAGAGTATCTCTCGTGCACACACAAGAGCCCACCTGAGGGCACAGAGCACCGGGTGGGGGGTAAGGTAGGGGCACAGGGCAGAGTGGTCTTCTGGGTCTGAGAGTTTTCACCTTGAAAACTCTGGTTTCCTGGAAGATGGTGTATGGGGGTGGCCGGGCAGGGAGTTGAGGGTACAAGTTGGGAATCAGACGAGGCAGGGAGGCCGAGCAGGTCTCAGGAGGGGGTCTCAGGTGGGACTCAGGTTGTCTGTGCGCTGGAGGTCGGGCGGGGAGGGAGAAAGCAGGTGGCAAGAAGGCTACAGAGCAGGCCTTGGCGGAGGCACACTCACCCGCCCAATCTGCTCGCCCAGCACCAGATCCTCGTGGTTCAGCGCCCACTTGTCCTGGGGAAGAGGAGGAGTTAGGGGGTCAAAAGTTCATGAAGAGCCGGGCTCGGTGGTTCAGCCTGTAATCCTTTGCATTGGGAGGCTGAGGTGAGTAGACTGCCTGAGCCCATGAGTTTGAGACCCACCCGGGCAGGTGAGACCTCATCTCTACAATAAATCAAAAAATTAGCCGGGCATGGTAGCGCACGCCTTTAGTTCCAGCTACTTGGAAGGCTGAGGCGGAAGGATCGCCAGAGCCCAGTGGCCGGGAGCGGCCACTGCACTCCAGTCTGGGTGACAGAGTGAGACTCCAACTCAAAAAAAAAAAAAAGTCCATGAAGAGAAGGGGCACAAGGCCCTGAGAAGGGCTGAAGGTCTCTCCAGCAGAAGCCAGGTCATTCATTTCTTGGAGTCCTGATGTACTCGTCTGTCAAATGGGGTTGGACCACCCCAGGAACACACTTGGTGACGTATGGGACCAGGCAGAGCCCGACTGGGTGAGCCCCAGCTCGATGTGTGTGACTCAAGGGGTAGGAGTGGCCTTGGCATTCCAAACCTAGAGGGAGGCTGGCCGCCTGCGGGGCGAGGGCTCACTCTGCACCCTGCATGGAGAATGGCACCTGGAAAGCCCATTCTGCTCTGATTCTGAGTGACCCTGACCCGCGTTCCCCAGGCCTGCCACAGGCGGCACAAGTGGGGCTGAGCGCAGGCTCACCTTGGGCACGGCCCTGTGCAGGATGACCCCACTCTTCTTGGTGAGGGGCTGCTGGGAGGACAGCAGGTGGTCGATGAGCAAGGGGATACTGGGAAAGCCTTCCCCTTCTAGTCGGAACAGGTTCTGCAGGGCAAGGGGACCGAGGTCAGCGGCCTCTGTTCTGAGGGTCCTGAGCCTGGGAAACGGGCTCCCGCCCTGGACGGGGACCGAGACCTCCAGAAAAGGCACCACATGATGGCGCACAACTCCTGCCACCCTCTTCTCAGGGGGACACAACTTAAGCTTATTTTGTTGCAGAGGCTAGGCGGTCTCTGTAGCCCCTTCCAGCCCCACCAGGGAGGCAGTGAGGAGCTGGCAGCTATTGCCTGCCCTCGCAAGGCTGTTCCCCTCAGGGAGGGGAGGAGGGAGGCGTAGAGGGCTTGGGTCCCAGCCCCACTCACGTCCGAGGACTGGATGATGAAGTGCCGGGGCAGACCATCCCACAGCACCGACAGCACGCATTCCTGCTTGCCCTGGCTCTCGCGTACCAGGAAGTCCCCGGAGCGCATCAGCAGCTCGGCCACCTCCGCCCGCGGGATGGCCCCGTGGTACCACAGCTGCTCGTGCAGGGGCTTCTGCACCTCAGGCACAAGCTGCAGTGGTGGGGGGAGCTGGGCAGGGCAGGGGAGCAGCGAGGAGGGGTCAGTCAGCTTGGTGGGGGTCTCTCTCTCTCCCCCGTAGGCCCTTCATCCTCACAACCACGAAGGGGCACACAGAGCCATCCGCAGGCCCCTGGAGTAGGCAGTGGCCTGGCCCAGGCTCTCACTGGGCAGTGCTGGGAGAAGCCCAGGCAGGCCAACCCCAAACCAGCCAGAGCCTCTTCCCCCAGGCCACAGGGAGTGCCCAGAGGTAACCAAGGCCAATACTCATCCCTTCAGCACACAGGGGTGGCAGGGTCTGGGACATCTGCAGCCTGGATCCCAGGGAAGAGAGGGACTTCCCTACAAAACAAGCCTGGACAGAACCTCTTCTCCTCTCTAGGACATCCCCAGTGATGACACCTAAAACCCCAGGGTGCAAGGCCTAGCAGGGAGCATCTCTGAGACCCCTGGCCTGGCCCACCTCTGAGGGAGGAGCAGGGGTGGGGGCCCGGCCTGGGCACCACTCACCGAGAATTTGGGGCGGAAGATTCCTGAGATGTGGCTCTTCAGGATCTCCAGCGTGGGCGTCCTTCCCCCATCTCGCTCCGGCTCCTGAGGCCAGGGACAGACGTCAGCGGGTGGCCGGGCTTGGGGAGGGGGAGGGCGAAAATGAGGAGCACAGCCCCGGGTGGGCAGACCTGGCCGGTGGGCAGAAGCAGCAGCAGCAGCAGCGGGCAGGGCGGCTCACCGAGGACGACGTGGAGTGGCGGTCATCCTGTAGGAACAGCACGGGCGGGGGCTCGCCGGGGCCTAGCCGCTCCAGCGTGGTCTGCAGCAGCTCCTGCTGGGCCTGCAGCTTGGCCTGGCTGCACAGTGCTACCTGCAGCCCCTGCAGCGCCTCCTGGAATGCCTGCTTCTTGCCCAGAAGCTGCACCCTGCGGGCAGCGGGCAAGTGGAAAGGTAAGGGAGGAGGGTTCACTCCATAGCAGGGGGGTGGGCTGGAAGGCTGCTGCTAGGGGCCAACTCACCGCCCCCTGGGGTGGGTGTTCTGTTCATCGTCCTGTAGCTCCTGCTGCAGTTGAGTGACTACCTCCTGCCGGGTGTACACCAACTCGGTGGCCACAGCCAGCTCGTCCGTCACTGAGGTCAGCCTGCACCCAGGAGAAGGGCAGTGTTAGAGCCCAGCTCCCCTCCAGACGCATACCTGCAGAGCCCTAGCTATGGCTCTGTGTGGACCTTGCCCACTCCCCTGCCCTGCCGTGTGAACACCCGTCTGCTGGGAGCCCCGCCCTGGCCCAGGGGCCATGCTGCCACACACGTGTGTTGCACACTCTCCACGGTCAGCTCGTTCAGCTGCAGCTCCCCAGGCTCCAGCGGTTCACCCTCCTCAAGTAGTGACTCATCAAAGGTGATGCAGGGTGGGACGTCTGGTGCGGACCTGTGGACAACAGTGCCCCGTCAGTGAACAGGCCAGCCGCCCCAGTGCCCAGCAGGAGCAAGGACGGGCTTACCCGTACTGCCGCAGGAAGCCTTGGTACTCCGCCTCGGGCTGGATGCGGGCAGCAGCTGCGGCCATCTCCCGGTGGATGGCCACCACCTCGTCTTGCACCAAACTGCTGATCTCCAGGTATTCCTGCAGGATGTCCTTCCTGCCCCCAGATGAGACCCCAGTTAGCAGGGCCTCCGGCTGGGTGAGCCAGGGCAGCTAGGGCCTAGACACTGGGTTTGGAGTCAGGGCTGGGGTTGGCCCTTCACACCATCTCATATGCCAGACACTTTTTAAAAATTTTTATGTATTTATTTATTTTGGTAATCTTCTCTGTATTGCTCTAATTTTAGTATAGGTGCTGCTGAAGTGAGAACAATCTTGTATTTTTTACAGATGGGGCCTCGCTCTGTCACCCAGGCTGAATGCAGTGGCGTGATCCCAGTTCACCACAGTCTCAAACTCCTGGACTCAAGCAATCCTCCCACCTCAGCTTCCTGATTAGCTGGGACAGGCACACACCATTACACCTGGCTAATTTTTACTATTTTTTGTAGAGATAGGGTCTTCCTAGATGAGTCAGGTTGGTCTCAAACTCCTGGGCTCAAGCAGTCCTCCTGCCTTGGCCTCCCAAAGTGCCGGGACTACAGGAGTGAGCCACTGTGCCCGGCCCCCACTTTACTCAATCTTCTATTTCCTGATATGTATAAGAGGGAGGCTAAGACTTGTAAAAAGGATCTGGTAAAACCCTGTGCACAGTGTCTAGTTTAAGGGAAGTGCTCAGTAATGTGAGGTGCAATCACCACTGCCCTGGGCAGCCGGCTCTGCACCCCACTAAATGTAAAGGCCATCAACATGCTGCAGACCCTCTTGTCTGTACCTCTCAGTCCCAGCACCTCCCTGAGCTGGTCACATGTATTTATGCATCTATTCAAAATGTCTCACCACACGTCTCTAAGACCTTAACTCTTCTAGTTGAAAAATGAACTCTCTCCTCTCACCTCCTCCCACTGCCTTCTCTGCAGGAGGTAACGGTAACCCCACCTCCCAGGGGCTCCAGGCCAAACCCTCAAGCCATCCTTGACTCCTCCACCTCACATCTACCTCCAATCCATAAGGAAGTCCACCGGCTCCACCTTCAAACCATACCCAGCACCTGACCGCTTCTCACCTCCACTGAGGCCACCCTGCTCCAAGTGGTCAAGATCTTTGGACGACTACAAGAGCCCACTGTCAAGCCTCCCTGCCTCTGTCCTTGCCCCCTGGTCTATTCTCAGTGACCTTATTAAAACAGAAATTAGAGCACATCACTCTTCTTGTTCACCCAGAGCCAAAGTCCTCACAAGGGTCTGCTGGACCCTCTATCACCCAGCAGCCCTGACCCCTGCCTCCACCAACCGCATGTCTGCAGAAGTGCTGCTGGCTCCTCCCTATTCCCAGATACTCTCCGGCCTCAGGGCCTGTGCACTGGCCCTCCTTTCTGTACTGGTCTTTCTCCAAACAGCCCTAGGGCTCACTCTTGTACCTCTCTCAGGACTCTCTCTCTCTTTCTTTCTTTTTGAGTTGGGGTCTCACTCTGCCACCCAGGCTGGAGTACGGTGGCACGATTGTGGCTCACTGCAGCCTCCACCTCCTGGGCTCAGGCAATCCTCCTGCCTCAGCATCCCAAGTAGCTGGGACTACAGGGGTGCACCACCATACCCAGTCAACTTTTTGTTTTTTTTGTCGAGATGAGTCTTGCATTGTTGCCTAGACGGGGCTCAAACTCCTAAGCTCAAGCAATCCTCCTGCTTCGGCCTCCCAAAGTGCTGGGATTACAGGCGTGAGCTACTGCACCTGGTCTCTCAGGGCTCTCTTCCCAGCCCAGCCTACTCTATTTCCAACTGTCACCTCTTCCCCTGCCCTCAGCACTCCCAGTCCCCTTCTCTTGCTGCATTTTTCTCCCTAGCACTTATTTCTTCTAAGATGCTTCCTATTTTACTTACTGGTTTTCTTTCCCCTCTCCACTAACACGGATGATCTCTGAGGACAGATATTTTACCTATGTCATTCTCTGCTGTAATCCTGAGTCCAGGACAGTGCTGCAATGTATGTAACATAATGAGTGTCCTAAAACCTGGGACAAGGGTCCTAGAATAGCATAACTCGGACATAAGTTGCCTGGTCCCAGCCTTTGGCCCAAATCTCGGTCTCGTGTGATTACAGGACCAGCACTTTTACAGCTCTGAACTTTCTGGGCCTGGCAGCAGAGCTTAGGGCTTAGCTCAGGTCTCGTCTCAGTCTAGGCCTTAGTTTCAGGGTAGGGGCTGGGCTGCTTACAGGATGCGAGCCATCTCCTCATGCAGGTCCTGCAGTGACTGGAGCAGGCCAGGCAGCAGGAGCTTGTGGTGGTGCTGGTGGTGCAGCTGCGCGGCTCGCACGCCCAGCACATAGCGGTTGTGGTGGGCAAAGAGCTTCCACAGGCTGCGCACGTACTTGTCCTTGGCCTTGTCCCGGTCTTTGTCTGCCAGACAGGAGGCAGGAGATGTGGGTGTTAGCATGGAAGCCCAGACAGCCCCCATACTCTGGGTTACCGTGGTTAGCACTGGCTTGGGACCTGTCAGCAAAGAAAGCCACAAACCTTTGCTGGCCTCCTGGTACTTGCGCCTGGCCTGGGCACTGTCCCGTGCCAGGGCTCGGTACTGGCTCTTCAGCTTCTCGATGTCCTGGCTGTGTGTCTGGGGGGAAAGGAGAGGCCGATGTGGGGCAGCAGGTCCCTGAGCATGCGAGATTCCCGCCTGAGGTCAAGCCCTGGGAAGGTCCTGCCGTCCAGGCAGGCAGCACGTCTAAGCCCCCAGGAAGGGCCTGGAGACTCCTGGGGAGCCTGGGTGCTGAGGTTAGGGCTGGAGCTGCTGGTTAAAGACAGGCTCCTGGGGGAGGCAAAGCAGAGGACTGGGCTTCCACAGCTGTCTCTCCTTTCTTGACAGAGGTAACTTGAAGGCAGGCAGGGCCAGCTTCTCATATGTGTGGCCCATGCAGTCACACAGGGCTCCACATGTAGACGGGCCCTGTGTTTGGCTTCATGCACTGTGTCACCATCTTGAGATTCTTAATTATCTTTTAACAAAGGGCCCCAAATCTTCATTTTGCACTAGGTCCTGCAAATTATTGTTATTATTATTTTAAGTCAGTCTCATTCTGTCACCCAGGCTGGAGTGCAGTGGCACACTCATGGGCACCACAGCCTCGACCTGATAGGCTCAGGAGATCCTTCCGCCTCAGCCTTCCAAGTAGCTGGAACCACAGGCATGTGCCACCATGCCCAGCTCATTTTTTTATTTACTGTAGAGACAAGGTCTCGCCATGTTGCTCAGGCTGGTCTCCAACCCCTGAGCTCGGGCAATCCTCTCGCCTCTGCCTCCCAAAGTGCTGGGATTATAGGCTTGAGCCACTGTGCCGGGCTGGTCCTGCAAATTATGTTCCTGGCAGCAGGAACAACAGATGGCAGCCCGAGGCTAGAGCTCCCATCCTGGTGCTCCTGTTTACGTGTTCCATCCCTCTCCTCTGAGCCTCAGTTTCCTCGTCTGTAACTGAGCCAAATGTGTCACTAGAGCAGTCTTTTTTTTATTTTGTAGAGATGGGGGTCTCGCTACATTGCCCAGGCTGCTTTTGAACTTCTGGCCTCAAGTGATCTTCCTACCTTGGCCTCACAAAGTGCTGGGACTATGGGGAGTGAGCCACTGTACCTAGCCACCTGGTCAGTCTTCTTTTTTTTTAATGACCAGATAGCCAATATTCTAGGCTTGTAGGTCCTGAGTGTCTGCAATTACTCAACTCTGCCATTGTAGCCGTAGACGATATGAAAAAAAGGGCATAGTCACTTTCCCGTAAAGCTTCATAAACTGGGCACACAAACCCTTGAATTAGACGATCTTCTAAGCAGAGAGTAAGGCCACCATAGCCACCAGGGGGCACTGTGGTTCCACGGCAAAGCCGGCCTCTGTACTGGAGGAAGGGGTGTGGTGTGGAGAGGCTGACCAGCATATTGACTGGGGGGGACTGACGCACTCAGGTCAACAGCTAGCTCCAAATCCCACAGCCTCTAGAATGAGGAGTTGGGTGGGATTTGAACCGAGGCAGGCCAACCTCACAGTCTGAGTCCTTGGCCGTCAGGGGGCCATGCTGCTGCTCTGTCTCTGGGGCCCTGGGATAAAGGCCAACAGACGGGCCCTCATGTCTCTCACCACCGTTTCTCTGACTGGTGAGAGCCAGGCGGTACCGTGTGGGGGGCGAGCTCCTCCTGGGTGACCACGGACGCTCATCCTCATCCTCCCAGCACTTTGCCAGGCCCAGACAATGCCCAGAGAGGCCCTGCTGCGGGCGGGCAGGCGGGCCTG